TCTTCATTGTTTCCTCGATTTTTGAATTTTTCGATTCTTCGACTTTGATATTTTTCAATATTTCGATTCTTTAAGTTTTCTTCAATTTTTTTCATTTTTCGATTTCCCAATTTTTTGATGTATCAGGTTTACGATTTTTCAATTTTCCGGTTCTTCAATTATTCAATTTTCAATTTTTGGCGTGTCTAAATTTCTCAATTACTCGATTTTTTGGTTTTTCGACTTTTCGATTTCCCCACTTGTCGATCTTTCGATTTATCAGTTTTCATTCTTCAATTTTTTCCAATTTTGACGCTTTTAATTTTTCAATTTTTCTACTTTTCGATTTGTAGGTTTTTCAATTTTTCCATGTTTCAGTTTTGAGATTTTTCAATTTTTCGATATTTGAGTTTTGGCAGTTTTCAATATTTCGATTCCGTTTTTTAATTTTTTATTTTTGACTTTTCTATTTCCCGATTTCTTCAAACTGCAATTTTTCAATTGTTCAATTCTACGATTTTTCAGTTTTTTGATTTTTCAATTTTTCGATTTCTCAATCTATGGATACATATTTCAATTGAGATTTTTGGGATTTTTCAATTTTTCGATTCTTCAAATTTAGGATTTTTTGATTCCTGAATTTGTCGATTAATCAAATTTTTGGTTTTCCGACTTTTCGATTTTTGGATTTTAAATTTTTCAGTTTTTCGATTTTTTGATGTTTTTATTTCTCGATTTTTTAATTTTTCGATTCTTCAAATTTTCTTCATTTTTTTTCAGTTTTCCACTCCTGAATTTTCCGATGTATGTTTTACGATTTTTCAATTTTTCGATTCTTCAATTTTTGACGTTTCTAAATTTTCGATTTTTCGATTTCCCAATTTCTGGATTAATAGATTTTTTGGTTTTTCGATTTTCCGATTTTTTCAGTTTTCAATTCAACTTTTTTAATTTTCCACTTTTCGATTTCTAGGTTTTTCAATTTTTTGATATTCCAATTTTGCAGTTTTTCGATTTTTTGATGTTTCTATTTCTCGGTTTTTCAATTTTTCAAGTTTTCAAAATTTCAATTTTTTCATTTTTCGATTTCTCAGTTTTACGATGTTTTAATTTTTCGATTCTTCAATTTTTCAGTTTTTGATGTTTCTAAATTTTCTATTTTGTAATTTCTCAACTTCTCGATTAATCGATTTTTTGGTTTTCTCCACTTTTTCAGTTTTCAATTCTTCAATTTTTTTCAATTTTGATGTTTTCAATTATTCATTTTTCGATTCTACGACTTTTCAATTTTTAGATTTTTCAATTTATCAATATTTGAATTTTGGCATTTTTCAATATTTTGATTCATCCATTTTTCAATTTTTGAAAATTTGACGTTCCTAAATTTTCAATTCTTCGATTTCTCAGTTTCTCGATTGATCTATTTTTGATTTTTGACTTTTCGATTTCCCAATTTTTTAAACCCTCGCAGTTTTTCAATTGTTAAATTTTTCCATTTTTCAGGTTTTTGATTTTTCCATTTTTGGATTTCTCATTTTATCGGTATTTCATTTAGGATTTTTCTTTTTTTTTTATTTTTTGATTTCTCAATTTTTCGATCTATCAATTTTTCGATGTATCAATTTTACGATTTTTCAGTTTTTGACGTTTCTAAATGTTCGATTTTTTAATTTGTCAATTTCTCTATTAATCGAATTTTTGGTTTTTCGATTACTCATTTTCTCCACTTTTTCAGTTTTTAATTCTTCAATTTGTTTCAATGTTGAGGCTTTTTTTTATTCAATTTTTCGATTTTACGACTTTTTGATTTCTAAGTTTTTCAATTTATCAATGTTTCAGTTTTGGCATTTTTCAATTTTTCAATATTTGAGTTTTGGCATTTGTCAATATTTCGATTTCTCCATTTTTCAACTTTGACGTTATTTTTGATTTTTGACTTCCCAATGTTTTGAACTTCCAGTTTTTCAATTGTTAAATTTTTCGATTTTTCAAGTTATGTTTTTTTAATTTTTCGATTTCTCAATTTACCGATATTTCAATTGGGATTTTTGGAATTTTTCAATTTTACGATTCCTCAAATTTAGGATTTCTTGATTTGTGAATTTGTCCATTAATCAAATTTTTGGTTTTTCGACTTTTCGATTTTTCAGGTTTTTGATTTTTTACTTTTTCGATTTTTTGATGTTTCGATTTTTCAATTTTTGGAATCTGCAAATTTTCTTCAACTTTTTTCATTTTTCCATTTCGCAATTTTCTGATGTATCAATTTTACGATTTTTCAGTACTTCATTTTTCAATTATTGACGTTTCTAAATTTTCGATTTTTCAATTTCTCGATTAATCGATTTTTTGGTTTTCCGATTTTTAGATTTCTTGATTTGTCAATCTTTCGATTTTTCAGTTTTCAACTTTGACTCTTTTAATTATTCAATTTTTCGAAATTTCCACATTTTGATTTCTAGGTTTTTCCATTTCGCGATTTTTTAGTTTTTCGATTTTTGAATTTAAAATGTTTCAATTTTTTAGTTTTTCCATTTTTTTGATGTTTCTATTTCTAGATTTTTCAATTTCTCAGTTTTTCGATGTATCAGTTTTACGATTTTTTTAATTTTTTGATTCTTCAATTTTTCAATTTTTAACCTTTCTAAATTTTCGATTTTTTGATTTCTCGATTAATCGAATTTTTGGTTTTTATTATTCAGTTTTTAAATTGTTCGATATTTGAGTTTTGGCATTTTTCAATATTTCGATTTCTCCATTTTTCAATTTTTCAACTTTTGACGTTATTTTTGACTTTTGACTTTTCGATTTTCCGATGTTTTGAACCTCCAGTTTTTCAATTGTTAATTTCTTTGATTTTTCAGGTTTTTGATTTTTCAATTTTTCGATTTCTCAATTTATCGGTATTTCAATTGAGATTTTTGGGATTTTTCAATTTTACGATTCTTCAAATTTAGGATTTCTTACTTTCGATTTTTTACTTTCTCGATTTTAAATTTTGGATTTTTGAATTTTAAAATTTTCAATTTTCCCGTTATACGATTTTTTGATCTTTCAATTTTTCCATTTTTCAATTTTTTGATGAATATGTATGTATATCTGTTTTACAATTTTTCGATTCTTCAATTTTTTAATTTTTGACGTTTCTAAATTTTCGATTTTTTCATTTCTCAATTTCTCGATTTTTCTATTTTTCAATTTATAAAGTTTATAAATTTTCAATTCTTCAATTCCTCAGTTTCTTGATTGATCTATTTTTGATTTTTGACTTTTCAGTTTTTCAATTGTTCAATTTTTTATTGATTTTGATTTTTTAATTACATATCAATTATTTTTTGATTTATCAATTATTCGATTTTTTAAATTTTCCATTTTTCTACTTTTGGGTTACTCGAAATCAAGAACTCGAAAAATTGCAGAAACGAAAAATTGAAAAATCGAAAGATTTAAAGTTGAGAAACTTAAAAATCGAAAAAGTGCAAAATCGAACAAACAAAATATTCTAAAATCGAAATGTTGAATTGTAAAGAAATCGGAAAATCGGATAATTGAGAAATAAAAAAACTGCAAAATTGAAAAAAAAATAGGAAAGTCGAGGAAGATGAAAAATAAACATTTGGCCAGGCCAAAGCCAGGTCAGGACATGTTCAATTCAAGTAAGTTCAAGTCAGACCAAATTCAAGTCAACTCAGATCTTACAAAATCAAGTAAGATAAAGCCAAGTCAAGTCAAGTCAGGTCAGATTAGGTCGGATGAAACGGATAGAAATATTGAAATTCCGTAAACGCTTTTGTTTTTAGCTTGAAGGGGAAGCTCAATTTGATGTCACGGCGCAAACATTTTTTAATCAATACTAAAAACATATTTTTCAATACGCATTCACCTAATTTTTTGAGATAGGCATTCTACTCTGTTTTTAAACAAATTTTATATTTTTATTAGATACATAAAAACATACAAACCACACGTAAATGTGTATATGCCACGCCATAAATTTCAAATTAGATTTACTTAACACAGTTTTGACGTGACGTCATTAAATTTTTGGTGGGGATGAAGAAACACATTCATAACTGAAATAACAATTTCGCATTTTCAGAGATTATCCTCTAGTAAAATCGCCAACAGATCGAACTTCTTCGGATCTAGCTGTCAAATGTCGACATAAATTAAAAATAAACACTTTAAAATGACTATTATGCACTACATGTATATCAACATTTATTTAGAACCACACTCACAATGTTTACAATCAATTTTTTACGCATGTTTTTACTCGAAATTTTTCCAAATTTTATTCACGATTTAAAAGTTTAATAGCAGAATCATGATTGTGTTTGGAAATCAACCACAGCGCCACCTAGTAGCAGTAGAGATGTATACAACTCCAAGCATTAAAAATAGCTTCTATTAATCGCAATTCTAACAAAAACTGCAGTTTTGACACCTACTGAAGGCTACACTATCTGGAAATGTTGAGTTACATGCATTTAAAACGTTTTACACACGTATGTTCCAAAGTACTCATTTTTATTGGTTTTTGTTGTGAGATTAGAGGCTTTCAGTTTGACGTTTTATGGTAATGTACAAAGTGTTGTGGGTACTGTGAGGGTGGTAAGAGGATTGCAAACAAACAACACTTGGGCTTGTAATCCTCTTACCACAACATTCAATGCGGGTTGAAACAAAAGCAGGGAGGCAAAATTTTCTCAGCACATAGTGAAAGTACACACATTAGAACAGCCATAACCTTAAAATGCATCTTGAACTTCTTGAAGTGAATCGCAAAAGGTGCAGCTTTTTAATTTTGCTAACACACTGTATAAATGAGCTTCGAAGGCTGCAAACCTAATCATCCAGGAACAAAAACAACCGACTTATAGATTCCCCAGTCATGCCACAGCACCTACAAGGAAAAACTCCGAATTCGCCTCGTTTTCCGGACCATCGAACAATGTTATTTTGTTAAACAATTTAAAAAACGGGTAGATATCTGTAGGTAGGTACCCATGGTTAATTACCTCGAGCGAGACGCAAGCCATGATGCGGAGGGTGAGAGGGATGGCTTCGTCATTGTTGAAAATGGGCACTAATTCGTCCTCTTTCGCCATACACAATCTGCACAGTTCGTTCAAGTCGAGGATCACATCTTGAGCTTCTCCGGATTTCTTCCGGCTGTAGGTTTTCATTTTTGTTGTTTAAAATATGATAAATCAGTTATCTACTTCGTTATTGCGAGTGACGCTCACTACTTTACCCTACGTTTCAAAATGGCGTCGACGCCACCAATGCATGACGGGAACATTATTGATTTTGCGCGCGCAGTTTTCATTATTACCGATATTTTTACGAATGCTTTATGGCTTTCTGGAGATGGGAATGCGAAGGATTTGCGAGGTTTGTGCCGGTAAAAGAAGTTGCCAGATCGCTTTGTATTGTTTTTAGGGTTTTTATTGGATGTGACGAGGGTGACGAGGCGCCACTGCAACGTCACGTGTTTTTTAATCATTTTTTAATGCACAGTCACATTTACGATGTTTTCGCACTAAAAAGGTCGTAAAGGTGAAAAACTGTGCTATGATATCACGACTCCTAAAATAAACTATACGTGTCATAGCTGATGTAATGAACAATGAAGCGTTTCCTCCCAAGGGAAATAAAATTTCCATGGCGACGAGAAGCATAGAAGAAAGTTAAATCGTTATCATTATGTTAATTATGTACAGTGCAGCCAATGTTGGATGTTGGCAGAATATCGTGTTCTACAATCAAAACTTAATACAGGTCCGGCCTTGCGTCAATTAGGGCCTCCTTGATGGAGAAGTCTGCTCCGGCACTAGTCGGAGTTTTAAAAATGGATTTACATAGCAGAGAAAAACAAAACAATATTTTTGAATATTTGGGTTAAAAGTAATTGCAAAAAGTAATTGTAAAAGTGACTGAATTATTTCCAACTACTGATACATATATACCTCTTTTTTACTTTGCTGGTGACATATAATTAATAGGCGTATTATAAATTATATTGTCTTTATTTTGACTAGTCTTTAATGCCAAACCTACTTTCTTGGCCTTTCAGAGTGTATAGAATATGAATATATTTACTACTCCTAGTATTTAAGTTCCATTTGACATTTATAACTCTGAAATTTGACGTGTAATTGAATGTGTTGTGGGGTTGATGTTGGTCAGGACTCAATAACTCTCAATCCCCAACAATTAACAATTTATTCACAAAGGTTCACACAAGAGAAAATACAAAGCAGTGTTCATGTCAGAGCGAGACTCTCAGCAGTACTAATTTTCCTTAGCCCTCTCGTGGGGGGAAACGCCCCGGTCAGGTCTACATAGATGGCGCCACCGTGTATATAAAACGGACACATTTTTTTTATTGGGTACTTTTTAGTTGCATATTTCTGGTATTTTTGTTTTTTTCCTCACTTTTTTGTATTCTTTTATTGCCTTTTTTTTTCTTGAATTTTTTCCGACTCTTTCTTGTCATTTTTTCCAAGTCAGGTCAATTAAGGCCAGGTCAAGCCAAATTAAGCCAAGTTAGGTCAAACCAAGGTCAGGTTAGGCCAATGTCATGTTAGGTCCAGAGTCAGACCAAGATTAGATCAAGTCAGACCCAAATCAGATTAAGTCAAGTCAAAACCGGGTCAGATCAAGTCAAAATCAGGTTAGGTCAGGCAAAACCCGGTCAGACCAAGTCAGGTCAAAAGCAGCTCTCGAAAAACCGTCAAAAAATTCCACATTTTTAAAATTTTGATAACCCAGGACGAAGATTTTCCAAAATTCAGTTTGAATTTGTTGGAATTTTCGAAATGAAGTCGCAAATAACTTCTACAGGTGGAGATTTACAAGAAAATGTCTTTAAGTAATTTTCAAAGGGTGTTCGAAAAGCGGTAACGAAATTCATAAGGCCCGCCGTATTTCCTAGAATTTTTTTGAGGGTTTTGTAAAAGTTGCCTAAAATCCCTCAAAAATTTTGAGAAATACTTTTCGATATCATTTTTTCGATTCTCGAAAGCTCGAAAATGGCCATAAAATTTCATACAGGGATAACAGGAAAATTGAGATTTTTTAAAAGTTGCCTAAAAATTCTCAAAAATTCTGAGAAATATATACAGATTTTATAAAAATTCGGTCTAAAAATGACTCTTTTAATATATAATTCAGTGTCATGTTTTTTGATTTTTTTGGGGATTTTTAAAAGGTGCTTAAAAGCGTTCAGAAAATTTTGGGAATGCGTTTTTTTCATCATTTTTTCGATTCTCTAAAAATTGTTGGAATTTTCGAAGAAATTAAGCCAAAAATATATTCAACAAGACGAAATTTACAAGAAAATGTTTTTGGACAATTTTGGGGAAACATATTTTTTCCAAAATTTTTTGTTGAGGTTACTTTTCAATGTTCTGATTCGAAAACAACGTCTTGATGGTTTGGGACCAAAATTTTCGTAAAAGTGATTTTTTTTAAATATCCCGAAAGCTCAACAAACGGTTATAAAACCATAAGTATACTGAAAAGTTGAGATTTTTGGAAAGTTGTTTTAAAATCCTCGAAAAATTCTGGAAAATCCAGTTCGACATTATTTTTTAAGTTTCGAATAATTTTTGGTATTTTCGAAGAACTTAAACCGAAAATAACTTCAAAAAGTCGAAATTTCCACGAAAATGTCTTTAGATAATTTTCTTTCGGTTCTTACAAAGTCAAGTAAGGTCAGGTAAAGGTCCAGCCAGATCAGATCAGAGCAGATCAAGACAGGTGACGTCTTTTTTAACTTTTTACTTTTTGTCTTTTCTTTATTAAATTTTGTACTCTTTTTTCTTTCGCGTTTTTTGTGTACCAATTTTGTATGGACCTTCTTGTGGCTAAATTTTGGTCCTTTTTTTATGCTTTTTCTAGTTGCCTTTTTCTTTTACTTTGTATGACGCTTTTTGTAAGGACATTTTTGTCCTTTTTTAAAACGTCTTTTTTTGGAGCCTGTTTTTTTTTGGACTTTTTTTGTATCATTTCTTTATCACATTTTTTGAATTTTTTTTCGACTTTTTTTATATCACCTTTTTTTTGGATTTCTTTTTTAAGTTTTTTGTTGCTTTTCTGGCCGATTTTTTTGTAATCTTTTTTTGTGTCCCTTTCTTTGTGGATTTCCTGCTTAATACTTTGTTTTTTTTCTGGATTTTTATGTTGTTGTTTTATGGTCTTATTTTTGTCGTCGCTTTTTTTGACGTTTTTTCTTAACGTTGTAAATTTTTCTGGATTTTTTTTACCTTTTTTTCGACTTTTTTGTCTTTGCTTTGTTTTCATATCCTTTTTTGACCAACTGTTGTCGCTCCTTTTTTTGTCGATTTCTTTTGTTACTTTTATGAGCTCCTTTTCTATTCTTTATTCTATCTGTTGCTTTTTTGCCTAATTTTTTTATTTATTGTCTTTCTTTACCGTTTTTTGTAATTTTACTCTATTGCGTCTTTCGACTTTTAGCATTTTTTTTTGTCTCCCATTTTATTGACTTTTTTATTCAGTCGTCTTTCGTCTCGTCTTTTAACAACTATTTTATCCATTCTTTTTTTTTGCTTTCTTTCAGCTTTTTTTTCGCTCTAGTTTTTTTATCGTTTCTTTTTTTTTGTTGCTCTTTTTTTGTATCTTTTTTTGAAGTCCAATTTTATCCCTGTTTATCACATTTTATTTTTTCGTCGCCATTCTTACTTCTGTCACATTGTAAAGTTTAGTCGCATTTTTTAATCGTCTCTATTGGTTGATTTTTGTTTGTTTGTTTACCATATTTTTCAATGTTTTTTTTTGTAGTTTTTTTAAGTATTCTTTTTTCGTTTTTTTTTGTCATTTTTTTGTCGTTTTTTTTTCGGCTTTTTTTCACACTTTCTTTGGAGCTTTTTGTTCCGCATTTTTGTTGCGTTTTTTTTGGCTCCTTTTTTTCTCATCTTTTGTCGTTTTTTGGGTTTCTTTCACGTTTTCGCCAATTTTTGTTGTTTTTTCGTTGCTTTTTTGTATATTTTTTACTTTTTTCGAATTTTTACCTCTTTTTTGCCCTCGTTTATCACATTTTATTTTCTCTAGAATGTCTAGAACCTCTAGAATCTCCAGAATCTCCAAAATTTTTAGAACCCTTAAAACATGTAGAATTTCTAGAATCTCTGGAATTTTTGGCATTTCTAAAATTTCTCGAATCTTTAGAATCTGCAGAATCTTCAGCATCTCCAGAACCTTTGGAATCCCTAAATTTCTAGAATCTTTAGAATCTCTAGAATTACTGGAAGTGCTAGACTTTAAAACTTTTGTATGTCTTAAAATCTTTAGGATCTTTGGAATTTCCAAAATCTCTAAAGCTTTTCGAATCTTTAGAATTTCTAGAATATCTCGAATCTTTAGAATCTCTAATCTCTAAAATTGACGGAATTGCTAGATTCTAAAACTTTGGATATTTTTAAATATTTAGAGTTTTTAGAATCCTCAAAATCTCTAAAAGCTCCAGAATCTTTAGAATCCCTAGAATTTTTGGAGTATTTAGAATTGCTGAAACTGCTAAAATCTGAACTTTTGAATTTATTGGAATTTTTAGAATCTCCAGAATCTTTAAGTAACATCTACAGAATCACCAGAATCTTCAAAATCTCTAGAACTTGTAGAAACTTTAAAATTTCGAGAATTTTTCGGATTTCTCAAATTTTTCGAAGCTTTAGAATCGCTAAACCCTAGAATTACTGGAACCGTTTGTGTTAGATTACTTAGTGTCTTTAGAACCATTAAAATTTCCAGAATTTTCAGCATCTCTAAAATCTGACAAAACCTATAGAAGCTCTAAAACCACTAGAATCTCTAAAATATTTAGAATATCTAGAATTTCTGGAACCGGTAAACTCTAAAACTTTGGATTTCTTGGGCTCTAGAATCTTTAGTCTCTCGAAAGAAACTTCTGAATTTTTAGAACCTCTAGAATCTTTATAATCCAGAATCTCTTGCCTCTCCATAGTTTTCTCTAGAATCTCTAGAACCTCTAAAATCTTCAGAATCTCCAAATTTCTAGAACCCTTAAAACATGTAGAATTTCTAGAATTTTTCGCATCTTTATAATCTGCAGAATTTTTAGCATTTCCAGACTTTCCCGAGATTCTAGCTTCTTTAAAACCTCTAGAGCCTCTATAATCTTTAGAATTTCTAGAATTACTGGAATTGCTGTGGATTTCTTGGAACTTTTAAGATCTGTAGAATCGCTAGACTCTTTGGAATTTCTAGAATTTCTGGAATCTATAGAATCTCTAAAACATTTATAATCTCCAAAATCTTTAGTACCTAGACAATCTCTAAAACGTCTAGAATTTTTAGAATATCTAGAACCTTTAACTAACATCTTTAGAATCACCAGAATCTTCATAATCTCTAGAATCTCTAAAAGCTCTAGAACTGGTAGAAACTTTAACATCTTCAGAAAATTTCAAGAATTTCTAGAATCTTTAGAGTCTCACGAATTTTTGCAATTTTTAGAATCTTTAGAATCTCCTGAATCCTTAGAACTTCTAGAATCGTTAGAATCCAGAATTTTTGCCTCTCCATAATTTTCTCTAGAATGTCCAGAACCTCTAGAATCTTCAGAATCTCCAAATTTCTAGAACCCTTAAAACATGTAGAATTTCTAGATCTCTGAAATTTTTGGAATTTCTAGAAATCTTCGCATCTTTATAATCTGAAGAATGTTTAGCATTTCCAGACTTTCCAGAAATTCTAGATTCTTTAAAACCTCTAGAGCCTCTGTAATCTTTTGAATTTCTAGCATTACTGCAATTGCTGTGGATTTCTTATAAATTTTAAGATCTGTAGAATCTCTAGAATTTTTATGGTTTCTGGAATTTTTCGAATCTATAAAATCTCTAAAACCTCCAGAATGTCTAGAATCTTTAGAATCCGTAAAATTTTTAGAATTTCTAGGATTTTAGAGTATCTAGAATTGCTGGAACTGCTAAAATCTGAACTCTTGAATTTGTTGGAATTTTTAGAATCTCCAGAATCTTTAAGTAACATCTACAGAATCACCAGAATCTTCAAAATCTCTAGAACTTGCAGAAACTTTAAAATTTTAGAATTTTTCGGATTTCTAAAATTTATCGAATCTTTAGAATCTCTAAACCCTAGAATTACTGGAACCGCTTGTGTTGGATTACTTAGTGTCTTTAGAACCATTAAAATTTCCAGAATCATCAGCATCTGTAAAATCTTCCAGAACCTCTAGAAGCTCTAAAACCACTAGAATCTCTAAAATATTTAGAATATTTAGAATTTCTGGAACCGGTAAACTCTAAAACTTTGGATTTCTTGGACTCTTTAGAATTTTTAATGTCTTCAGAAATTCGAAAATTTCAAGAATTTCTAGAATCTTTAGTCTCTCGAAAGAATCTTCCGAATCCTTAGAATCTTCAGAATCTCCAATATTTCTAGAACCCTTAAAACATGCAGAATTTCTAGAATCTCTGAAATTTTTGGAATTTCTAGAATTCTTGGCATCTTTATAATCTGCAGAATTTTTAGCATTTCCCGACTTTCCAGAGGTTCCAGATTCTTTAAAACGTCTAGAGCCTCTATAAATTATAAAATTTCTAGAATTACTGGAACTGCTGTGGATTTCTTGGAACTTTTAAGATCTGTGGAATTTCTAGAATCTTTAGAATCTCTAGAATTTTTAGAAATTCTAGAATTTCTCGAATCTATAGAATCTCTAACACATTTAGAATCTCCAAAATCTTTAGTACCTATACAATCACCAGAACCTCTACGACCTCTAAAACGTCTAGAATATCTAGAATCTTTAACTAACATCTACAGAATCACTAGAATCTTCATAATCTCTAGAACTTGTACAAACTTTAAAATTTCTAGAATTTTTCGGATTTCTCAAATTTTTCGAAGCTCTAGAATCTCTAATCCCTAGAATTATTGGAACCACTCGACTTGGACAGAATTTTAGAATCTTCAGAATCTTTAAGTAACATCTATAGAATCACCAGAATCTTCAAAATCTCTAGAACTTGTAGAAAGTTTAAAATTTTAGATATTTTCGAATTAGTGGAACCGCTTGTGTTGGATTACTTAGTGTCTTTAGAACCACTAAAATTTCCAGAATCTTCAGCATCTCTAAATTCCAGAACCTCTAGAAGCTCTAAAACCGACGCTAGAATCTCTAAAATATTTAGAATATCTATAATTTCTGGAACCGGTAAACTCTAAAACTTTGGATTTCTTGGGCTCTTTAGAATTATTAACATCTTCAGAAATTCTAAAATTTGAAGAATTTCTAGAAAGAATCTTCTTAATCCTTAGAACCTCTAAAATCTTTACAATACAGAATCTCTTGCCTATCCATAGTTTTCTCTAGAATCTCTAGAACCTCTAGAATCTTACAAATCTCCAAATCTCTCTGAAATTTTTGGATTTTCCAGAATTTTTCGCATCTTTATAATCTGCAGAATTTTTAGCATTTCCAGACTTTTCAGAGATTCTAGACTCTTTAAAACCTCTGGCGCCCCTATAATCTTTAGAATTTCTCGAATTTATAGAATTTCTAAAACATTTAGAATCTCCAAAAGCTTTAGTACCTAGACAATCCGCAGAATCTCTACAGTCTCTAAAACGTCTAGAATTTCTAGAATTTTTAGAATATTTAGAATCTTTAACTAACATCTATACAATCACCGGAATCTTCATAATCTCTAGAATCTCTAAAATTTCTAGAACTTGTAGAAACTTCTAGAATATTTAGAGTCTCACGAATTTTTGCAATTTTTAGATTCTTTAGAATCTCCTGAATCCTTAGAACTTCTAGAATCGTTAGAATTCAGAATCTTTTGTTTCTCCATAATTTTCTCTAGAATGTCTAGAACCTCTAGAATCTTCAGGATTTCCAAAATTTCTAGAATCCTTAAAACTTGTAGAATTTAGACTTTTTATTGCCTATTGTCGCCATTTTTATCACCTTATTTGTAACTTTTTTCTGTGGCAATTTGAACTTTCTTTTCTTGTTGCTTTCGTTCAACCTCCTTTTTGTCTTTGCCTTTTTTTGGTCTTTTTTTATCGTCGTTTTTCATGTAGTTTTTTTTTTTGGTTATCACTTATCACAAAGAAAATAAAATTCGCAAAGTCAAATTTTGAATTTTATTCAAGAAACTGAATTTGTCTGTTTGAAGGAAAATTCTTTCTAATAAATAACTTTAGATAAAATTTTTTCTAATATGAACCAAATTTGAAAGTAATAATAAATAATAAAATATTGTGGTATAGTTTTGAAATCATTTATTATCGATTATCGACCGGCGCCGTAAAAACTCATTAAATCTTGTTTTTCCATTTCCAATAAAAAACAAAAAATAACCCATTAACTTTTATTCCATCGCAATAAAACAGTTCAAACACCACAAAAATGCGTCATCTAGTAGTCACATGACGACCCAAACCCCAACCTGCCCACGTGACCTCTCGTTTTCGGCCGCGCCGCCAGATGCCCTCCTCTGTCACGTCATCATCACCGCTCTGGTGGCAAACGTGCGGACTAAACAATGAATAATTTAGCTGATTCTTGACAATTTGTTTTACGATAAGTCGTCGTCCTGTGTGTGGAAGGGTGTGTGCCCAGCAAAAAACCGCGTGTGCTGCTTAATGTGGTGGCAACAAGTGCATAAACCCTAGGATCATCCATTTCTTGTAAGTACCTCGCCGCCCCCTGCCAGCGTCGACGTTTGCAGAGACGCTGCCTGCGACCCAAGCAAGTACCGGTACCGCTGCTCGGGCCCGACCCAGCAGCCCTCCTGCCTCTCCCGCGGGCATCCCGCCCAGCGCCCATCGGGCCCCGGCCCGCGACCGCGGCCCGCCGTGGCCCCGTCACCTACGTGCCCGTGCCAGAAAATGGTGCTCTCCGGGCAAAAAGCGCACTTTTTCTGGCTCGGGCCGCAGGACGAACACTCGGCTTAAAGTACTCTTGTTTCAGGTTTTCTGGTGCTGAACAGACTGCAATCATGCCTAAATCGGTAAGTACGAGCGTTCCGTCGATGGTAGTGCTGGTATTGGGAATATTAAACGGTATTCCCTGTTGACGCACTCCGCTGTAAAAACACCTGTTGATCGGAGAGGCTCGTGAAAGCGACTTTTCGCTGTCAAACGGTGTTCGATGGGCGATTTGACCATAGTGTGCGTGACCACAGGCGACTTGATTCCATGACTCATATTTTTTATGGGCATGGGTCGTTTGTGCTGGGTCGGTCGGGAAACAATAGACCGCAGGCGATTCTAGCTTTTTTGGGGTTTGGGGTATGACCCCTTTTGCCAATTTAGCCGAAAGAAAATAAAAGTATTGTTTTTTTTGTATTGTGTTATTTTAATGAGTGCCGCTTGTTTGTAACAATGAACTAGATTCCAGTGTGTACTTTACTCTCGTAAAATTTTGTTGTTGATCTGAGGTATGCTATCTCATAGTTGATGATAATGATAAGTTACGTGAAATCGTAAAAGAAACAATGAATTTAATCGCCTTTATCTAGGTATTTGGCTATCTTTCGATATGTTTATCGTTTTATGTAAGAATGGAGAATCCATGAAGTCGGAAAGTGTTATAAATAGATCACAGGACGTGGCGGCGAAGATTTCTTCGTTTTGGAAAAAATATACAGGGTGTCCATTGTGTGATTAAATCATTATACTACTACCTTCTTTATGACCTATATGCAAAACAAAAAATTGTCACAAACTAGGTCTGTCGTATTTTTGATATACTTGAACAATAATCTCCGAAACGATCGCACCGATTACTGGAAGTTTTAAATACATTTTTAAGTGTGTTATCAGGATTATAGAATGCTGACCGAAAATTGTCTAATCATATATAGCTCTGTAAAAATTGCCCGGATGTATAATTTTCTTGTGAAATCAAACGTAATATGCAAAATACACGATAAAAGTTTGTTTCTAATTTATAAAATACAAATCTCTGCAGTGCACTTTTTCCGTTAGAAAATTTTGTGATGACGTCATCCACATTCTAGCAAGAACACGTATATCGTAAATTTTTTGAGTCATTCTGTATAAGCAATCCTGAGTGAGGTGTCACAGCAGCCATAAACATCTAAATTTCAAAGAAAACTGGATTGTGACGGTTTCTCTTTATTCAGGACTCAGTTTAAAACTATAAAATTAAAATAACCCTAATAAAAATTGCAAGAATAAACAAAATGAAGGCAAATTTATAAACCACAAGTACAGGAGTGGGTTATTTTATAAAATTTGTATGCTATGTACTAAGTAAAATTGTTTGTGAGGATGATTATACAATATCGTGTATAATTTACAATAGTAAATTTTATTTCAGCTTCATAAAATAAAATACTCCTTGGGTTTTCCCCTAGACACCCAGATTTTTCAAGAATATCTAAAATATGCAGAATATTGTGAATTTATAAGTCTGACTAAACAAAATGAATCAATTACTTATTTCCTATGACATTTACTTCTTATTTCCGAAGAAAAAAAATTAGAGAACGGGTGGGTGGGCGGGGCTAAGTTTATCTTGTTCATCCGGAATTTTTATAAGCAAGCAATAAGCCCACCCACCCACCCCCTCTTCAATCCAGTGATTACTCTTAATATTGTTCAGTCATTTACCAAAATCAATCTTATTTTAACAAATACTGAAGTTCTATCGAAACAACTTTCAACCATTTTTTTTGCCTTAATATACGTAGTTTTTTTTTGCAATTAAGTTCCGCCCCTCGATCTGACAAATAAAGAATATATTCATCACAATTGAGATGAGGGCTGGTGGGTGGGGCTTAATCTTTGGCTTAATTTTCTTAATATATAGAGTTTTCTCTCAACAGCACAATATTTAAAACATTATTTTAACTTCAAATTCACCATTTGATATTTTAAGTGTTTTACTATTGAAAGAAAAAATTTTGGCCTGGGGCAATAAAAATCCAGAACTTTTTGTGGTTTTGTAGGTCTTTTTTGCAAAAGCTAAATTTTTCAGCATCACTTTTATGAAATTTTTGATCATTTTTCGACCACCTTCCAAAAAATTGACGTTTTCTCAAAATTACAAAAAAAAAAAATGCAAAACATGATTTTTTTTGAATTTCTTGCACAGGGTGACTCAAAAAATTAATTCATTTATGAATTTATTTTATTGATTACATCCGTTTTCTCAAAAATTTGGGAATACGATACTGTTATTATTAGAGGTGTTACTGAATAAAAACTGATGTTTTATATATTATACTAATAATCAAATAAATTTCTTAATAAATAATTAAACATGTTGTCAGTTTCTTGTTGGGAAAACAAAACTTCGCATATTAAGAAAAACTGGACAAAATATAAGCCCCGCCCACCCACCCGTTCTCAATTGTGATGAATATTTTATTCATCGTAAGCTGAAGGGCGGAGTTTAGTTGCAAAATCCTCATTTCGTTACAAGAAAATACCATATGAAGTTTGTTTTTAAAAGGGTAGATTTTTTTACAGAAATATTGATGTTACAATTTAAGCTCCGCCCTTCGGTCTGATTAGGAATGAAAACTCATCACAATTGAGACCGGGCGGGTGGTTGGGGCTTAATTTTTCTTGTTTTTTTTTAATGAATGGAGTTTTCTTTCCCAACAAGTTAAACATGTTTTCAGTTTCTTGTTGGGAAAAGAAAACTTCGTATATTAAGAAAAAATGGACAAAATATAAGCCCCGCCCACCCACCCCTTCTCAATTGTGATGAATACTTTATTCATTGTGAGCTGAAGGGCGGAGTTTAGTCTGCAAAACCCTCATTTCTCTACAAAAAATTACCATATGAAATATGTTTTTAGAAGAGTAGAATTTTTTAGAGAAATATTAATGTTACAATTTAGCAATGAAAAACTCATCACATTTGCGATCGGGTGGGTGGGTGGGCCCTAATTTTTGCTTCTTTTTTAATATAGAGAGTATTCTTTGAACAACAAGATAGTTAAACATATTGTCGTTTCTAGTTGGGAAAAAAAAACTTCGTATATTAAGAAAAAATGGACAAAATCTAAGCCCCGCCCACCCACCCCTTGTCATTTGTAATGAATGCTTTATTCATCGTGAGCTGAAGGGCGGAGTTTAGTCTGCAAAATCCTCATTTCTCTACAAGAAATTCCCATATGTAATATGTTTTTAAAAATGTAGAATTTTTTATAGAAATATTGATGTTAAAATTTAAACTCCGCCCTTCGGTCTGATTAGGAATGAAACCGGGGCGGGTGGGTGGAGCTTAATTTTTGTTTTGTTTTTGTTTTTTTAATAAATAGAGTTTTCTTTCAATAATAGGAAAGTTAAACAAGTTTTCAGTTTCTTGTTGGGAAAACAAAACTTCGTATAATAAGAAAAAATAGACAAAATATAAGCCCCGCCCACCCGCCCCGGTCTCAATTGTGATAAGTTTTCATTCCCAATCAGACTGAAGGGCGGAGCTTATTTGCAGAGAAATATTGATGTTACAATTAAACTCCGCCCTTCAGTCTGATTAGGAATGAAAACTTATCACAATTGAGACCGGGGCGGGTGGGTGGGGCTTAATTTTTTTTTTTAATGTACATATAGAGTTTTCCTTCAACACTTTTTTGGCGCAAAGAACAAGAGATATTATAATAAAAAAACATACAGTCAATTTATTATTCAATAATTTTGGACTGTAAATGAAAAACTGAAAAATCTAAAAATAAAAAATTGAAAACTCGTGAAATTTCAAATCGAAAAGCTGCAAAATATAAAAACTGAAACGTCGAAAAGTTGGAAAATCGGAAAACTGGAAAATTTAAAAATGAAAACTCGAAGAGATGTCTTAAAATTAGAGAGAAAAAAAAAGGAAAATTTGAAAAACTGCAAATTGAAAAACTGACGAAACCAAAAATTGAAAAGAAGTGAAATCGAAAACACCAAATATTATAAAATCGGAACATTGAAAAAGTGTAAAACCTAGAAATTGAATTGAAAAATTGAAAAATTAAATTTAAACTTCAAAACTCGAAAAAATGAAGGAAAAAAAGAAACGAAAAATTGAAGAAAAAATTTCAAAGTCAATTTATTAATCAATAATTTTGGACTCCACTATTGTAAGTCACGTAGAATCACTTGTACTTTCTCGTTTTTTTCGAAAAACTGAAGAAATGAAAAACTGAAAAATCTAAAAATTTAGAGTTACTGTAGGAAAATTGAAGAAAGAAAAAAAACTTGAAAAATTGTAAACCGAAAAATTGAAAAGATTGTAAAAATAAAGAAAATAAAAAACCTAAACGAAAAATTGCACATGGAAAAATTAAAAATTGAAAACTTGAGAAACTCAAACCGAGAAATTGCAAAAAGTACAAAAACTAAAAAAAATGCAATTCGAAAAAATGAAGGAACAAAAAAAATGCAAAATTGAAGAAAAAAGTCGATTTCAGAGAATTGGGATTTATTTGACTGGCCTTCAGGGGCGAGGGAAGTTCTGTGGAAATAACATTCGACCAATTTTTTCTTCTCATTTTTTTTCGATTTTTAAGTTTCTGAATTTTATTTTTAGTTTTTCAATGTTTCGATTTTTTTTATTTTTTCGATTCATCGATTTGTAATTTTCCGGTTTTCGAATTTTTCAATTTTGCAATCATCGTTTTTCTAGTTTTTCATTTTTTCCGATTTTTCAGTTTTTCGATTTTTGATTCCTCGACTTTTCAACTATCGATTTCTCAATTTTTAGATATTTCGGTTTTGGGATTTAAAGTTTTTTATTCTTCAGTTTTTCGATCGTTCAATTTCTCGATTTTCAATTGTTCGATACTTCAGTGTTGGGATTTTGCAATTTTTCGATTCTTCAAATATAGGATTCCTCGTTTTCTCAATTTGTCGATTAATCAAATTTTTGTTTTTTTGACTTTTCGATTTCTCAATTTACCGATATTTCAATTGAGATTTTTCAATTTTGAGATTTTTTACTTTTTCGGTTTTTGAATTTAAAATTTTTTAATTTTTGGTTTTTCCATTTTTAGATTGTTCAATTTTTTCAATTTTGACGCTTTTAATTATTCAATTTATCGAAATCACAAAATAAAATTTTATAATTTTTCGAAAAAGTTGGATTTTGTTGTATTGTACTTTAGGCACGAGGGAAGTTCTACTTAAATAACTCTAGACCAGTTTTTCCAAATAATGATTATTCCTCTATTTTTAGCACTTGGTTACCGTTTTTTGAAAGTTTAATCTTTGCATAAGTAATGAGGTAATGAACTTTAAACTGAAGGAGACCGCCATAAATTTGAAGTGAAAGAACCCATCATTGTCATAAGTCGGTACCTAATACGGTTTATCTACTCGAAGGCCGCATTATAATTCCGTTTGAGACAGTCCTGGTTGTTGAAATTAAATTTCTAGATCATAATTAAAAAAAAAAAAAAATTCAAAATTTTTAAATTTACACTAAAGAACATAAAGCCAAAGTCATCACTATGGACGATGATTAAAAGAGGTTATCTTTGGTTGTTAACTCGAAACGACTGAACTTTGACCAACGACATTATGTTGCCTTTTCAGACTGAAATGGGTTTTAAGGAATTCAATAAAAAATCTTTATTTTTGTTTTGGAAAATATTTTACTACGAAAATATGATATTTCATATGAAAATAACTCGACCAAATCTTGTCCGGATATTTTCAAAGAGATAATAATTGTAATTTTTATCATAAAAGTAAGTTGTTAAAATATGTTGATAACGTCGTAACAAAAATTTTTTTTAACTATGTAATAACAGAGCGGATGTCTTGAATTAGAATAATTATTCGCAAACGTTCTGTCTCGGTAAAACAAGACCTAATTAGTGCAAACATGCAAATCTCGATCTCAAAACATGCAAGGAAAAAACTGCGAATCACGTCACCTAAATCTTTGATAAATTTTAATACAGTAACATTTGTAACCAATTACCCATACAAATACAATCCCAAGCAAGCTAAAGAATTCTCCGTGTAAATAACAAGATTTGTAGCGTAGTCTTACTCCAATTTACTTTTATTTTTATGGTCCATTGTTTCCCTGTCCCCAGTTCCTCGCGTCCTTTTTCTGTCACACAATGTAAATAGCGCTTATGTAATTCATATATTTAAGAACAACAATACAGTTTCACACAGATTTGTGACCACTGAAAAGTGTTGCATCCAAGGTAGTCATTTGTTTTGTACCACTCGACCTCATCTTCTCCATTCACCTGCAAGATAAAAACTTTTACATTGTTAGTGGAGTCGATGACAGCGCGAATTCGTTTGCACAATTTTCGAAAATTCATAAATTCTAGAACGTTATCGACAGCAACGTCGTTCGACCTACTAATTACCCTAATTAAAAATAACGCACTGTCAAGTTGGCTTGTTTTATTTTTGTAGATAGAGCGAACACCAAGTGAAACCGAAAGTGTCCAATTCGTTAATAATAATAATAATAATGAGACACAATTTGCTGCTCCAGATGTCAATTAGACCAACGGATAATTGTGACAGTTGTATCCATTTTTCGCGGCACGGTTTCTTGAAGCTCCTATATCTGGAAGCGGATTATCGATAATGAATTTTTTGTGGATAAGCGATTCGCTATTGTTTGTAGACAGCCTAAAATAAAAATGATGATATAACAGGTGCTCGGGTACCATCTGCCCCTCTATCGCTCCTGCTCATGCCCACACTCGATTCATAAATTCGAATAGTCACTATACTACCATTGGCGGGTTCATTCAATCGACGGTTTGTCTTAGCCTTAGACCCAACGGTCTGATCCGGTGTACCGGTTCCGACGAGTGCTAGCTTAACATTCGCACCGAGAGTTCGTTCGAAGTCCGTTGTGCAACTGCAGTATTAATTAGTTCTAATAGTGTTTAGTATCGGCTGTGGTTTAGTTCCGAAGTCAACATGGTTTCCAGCAAATTGGTAAATACTTATATTTTTCGATTTAATTATAGTAATCGGTCGAGTTCCGTATTCTTCAAGTTTACTTGTATTGTCATGGTTAAAATAGACGGTTACAGTACCCACTGATGCAACAGCTAATTGTTATTCTGTGTTCTGGGATGAGTCACGGTACACTCGAGATAACAAAATAACAATTTTAATTAGCCGGGTTTATTGTGATCGTTCGCACCTCTATGTGACGTCCCTTGTTACCGAATTATTATCGAGCAAAATTTTGGCATTGGTCGGTGCGTAATTGCAATGTTTTTCCTAATACACAGGATATCAGTCTTACATCATCGTATTGTTCGACGACGTAAAACGAATCTCGAATACACCTACTAAATGATGGATAGAAAAGAAATTGTCGTGTGGTTAATTGTCACCTGTTGGTCACAAGTGGGGGCCGAATCGGCGGCCTTGAAAACTGTCAAGTATAATGATTATTCTTAGCCGAGTGAAAAGCGAGAGAAATTTTAAGCAAACGGAGAGTTTGTAAATATTAGTATTTTGTTTAGTTACAAAGTCAGGCAAAAAATGAATTAAAATATCAAACGAGTGGATAGAGGCCATGGGAAAATACGTGGCAGTTGTTATCAAAATTGGTGGCTTGGTAGAAATACGGCGACAGTTTTCATAGAGACATCAGTTTTCCAACAACTATTGTTAACTAAATGTTACAAGTTTTATCAGTTTAATAAAAAACCACTAGAAACGGTTCAACCAAACATTTTTTATCCGTTACATCACTGGCGATGACGTTCAGATGACATTGAAATATCAGAACCAATGGTAGGCGCTTTGTAGGTTAGGAACTCAAGGGAAAATTTACCGTTTGAGATTGATCCTGTTTTTGCAATTTTTGTAAAAGTGTGTTCGAGACCGCCCCCAAAACCACGCCCAGTGGTGAGAAAACCGCTCCTGAAGAGCTTAAAACGATTTTTCATGTATAGTGTGCCAAGAAATGTAGCGGTTTTACGACTTTGTCTCCTTGACTATTCTTGCTTCGAAAATGATGTTTTTAAGTCTGATGTCATGTGGGGTTTCGTCATGCGTGTAAAATCTAGCAAACGCTCCTTCAAAAACGCAATGACGTCATACTTGTGGTTTATCGGCGTCAAAATTCTAAACAAACAATTGGTCTAACAATTCATTTTCCTCACCAAAATTGTTGACCTAGAACATCGAACTTCTCAAAATTCTGGAAATGTAGACCATTTTTTAGGTATTCGAAAATTCTAGAACCAACTTTTTTTTTTTAATTTAACCGTAATATTCGTGGCTCCCGGTATTTTGTTTTATGAAAGAATCTTGGAGTCCCTATTGTCTTAAAAAAAAGTTGAGGGAGACTCCCAAGATTCTTCCAAGTCCTTTCAAATGTAGGGCATAAGATTCTTTCATATTTTTTTAAAAAGAACAAGACCCAGGGACTCCAAGATTCTTCTTTTTATGAAAGAATCTTTGGGGTTCTTGGAGTATTTGTTTCCGAAATAATTTTAAAAGATCTTAGGGACTTAGCTGATGATTTGTTTTTGAAGAAGTTTGAAGCAACCTGAGAGTCTTGAAAAAGTGCAAAAGAATCAAACGTTTGTGTTTTGTTTTCGAAGAAAAGATACAAAGAGTCTCATAGGTTCTATCATTTTTTTAAAAAAGAGTGAAATTAGGAGAGCCCCAGATTCTTCCAAGCTCTTTTGAATGTAGAACTTAAAAAGCCCTAGACATTCTTTAAAAAAAATTGACGTGTAGGACCCTCAAGATCTCTCCATTTTTTTTCAAAAACAGAGTGTAAGAGTCTCTAGAGATTCTTTCACATTATTTAAAATAACAAAAAACAAGAAGAGACGCCTCCAAGATTCTTTCAAACTCTTCTTTTCTGAAGAAAAAAAAACACAATGAGCCCCCGAGATTCGTCAACATTCTTTTAAAAAGTACAAGACCATGGGACTCCAAGACTCTTTGTTCTTTTTCTGAAAGATTCTTTGGGGCTCCTAGTGTTTTTTTTTTATGAATGTGAAAGAATCTGTGGGACCTTTGTTTTGTTTTTGAAATAATTTGAGAAGATCTTAGGGACTCCTGGTGAATGTTGCGAAGGAGTTGGAAGTCTTTTTTTAAGTCTGAATCTTAAGATCTTCTACTGTCTTTTGTAAGTATGTTAAAGGCCCTTCTTTGTTTTGCAACTTTGGAAGTCTTTTTTGAAAGAGTCTGAAGAATCTTCTGTTCTATTATCTTTTCTAGAAAGAATCTTTGGGACAATTTGTTTTGTTTTCGAAATAATTTAAAAAGATCTTAGGAACCCCTGGTGATTTGTTTTTGAAGGAATTTGAAGCAACTTTGGAAGTCATTTTTGAAAAAAAAAAAAGAATCTTAATAACTTCTAGTGTCTGTTGTAAAAGTAAGTATTTGGAAGAATCTCTGAGGCCCTTTGTGTTTTGTTTTGGAAATAAATCAAAAAAGATCTTTGGGACTCCTGATGATTTGATTTTTAAAAGAGTTTGAAGCAACTTTCGAGGTCTTTTTTAAAAGAATTTGAAATAATCTTAAGGATCTTTTAGTATCTTTTGTGAAAGTATTTGAAAGAATCTTAGGATCTTTTAGTGTCTTTTGAAAAAGTATTTGAAAGAATTTCGGAGTTCCTTTGTGTTTTATTTGGGAAATAAATTAATAAAGATCTTGGAAACTCCTGGTGATTTGAAAGAGTCTGAAAGAATCTTAGGATCCTTTAGTGTCTTTTGTAAAAGTAGTTGAAAGAATCTAAGAGGCCCTTTGTGTTTTGTTTGGGAAATAAATTAAAAAAGATCTTAGAGACTCCTGGTGATTTGTTTTTGAAAAGGTTTGAAGCAACCTTGGGAGTCTTTTTTTTTTTAAAGAGTCTGAAAGAATCTAACGATCCTCTAATATTTTTTGTAAGAGTATTTGAAAGAATCTCTGAGGCCCTTTGCCTTTTGTTTTGGAAATAAATAAAAAAAGATCTTAGGGACTTTTTGAAGGAGTTTGAAGCAGCATTGGGAGTCTTTTTAAAAAGAATTTCAAGTAATCTTAGGATCTTTTATTGTCTTTTGTGAAAGTATTTGAAAGAATCTCTGTTTTGTTTTGGGAATAAATTTAAAAATATCTTGGGGACTCCTGTGATTTGTTTCTGAAGTGGTTTGAAGCAACTTTGGAAGTCTTTTTTGAAAGAGTCCAAAAGAATCTTTGGATCTGCTAGTATCTTTTGTAAAAGTAAGTATTTGGAAGAATATCTGAGGCCCTTTGTGTTTTGTTTTCGAAATAATCTTAAAAGATCTTAGGGACTCCTGGTGATTTGTTTTTGAAGGAATTTCAAGCAACTTTGGGAGTTTTTTGAAAAAGTCTGAAAGTATCTTATAATGTTCAGTATCTTTTGTAAAAGTATTTGAAAGAACCTCCGGGAACGTTAGTGTTTTGTTTTCGAAATAATTTTAAAAGATCTTTGGGACTCCTGGTGATTTGTTTGAAGGAGTTGGAAAAACCCTTCAGAGTCTTTTAATAAGTCTGAAAGAATCTTGTTATCTTCTAGTGTCTTTTGTAAGTATTTGAAAGAACTCTGAGGCCGTTCTTTGTTTTGTTTTCGAAATAAAGAAATATTCTACGGACTTCTGGCGATTTTTTTTTTGGAAGGAGTTTGAAGCAATCTTTTAAGTCTTTTTTGAAAAAGTCTGGGAGAATCTCAGGATCTTCTAGTGTCTTTTGAAAAAATATTTGAAAGAATCTCTGGCTCCGTTTGTGTTTTGTTTTCGAAATAAATTAAAAATATCTTAGGGGCTCCTTTGGAAGTCTTTTTTGAAAGAGTCCAAAAGAATCTTTTGATCTGCTAGTGTCTTTGTAAAAGTAAGTATTTGGAAGAATATCTGAGGCCCTTTGTATTTTGTTTTCGAAATAATTTTAAAAGATCTTAGGGACTCCCGGTGATTTGTTTTTTTTTGTAGGAATTTTGTGAAGCAACCTTGGGAGTCTTTTGAAAAAGTTTGAAAATAGCTTATAATGTTGAGTATCTTTTGGAAGAGTATTTGAAAGAATCTCCGGGAACGTTTGTGTTTTTTTTTTTTCGAAATAATTTCCAAAGATCTTTGGGACTCCTGGTGATTTGTTTGAAGGAGTTGGAAAAACCCTTGGGAGTCTTTTTTTTTTAATAAGTCTGAAAGAATTTTGAGATCTTCGACTGTCTTTTGTAAGTATTTGAAAGAACTCTGAAGCCCTTGTTTGTTTTGTTTTCGAAATAAAGAAATATTCTACGGACTTCTGGCGATTTTTTTTTTTTTTTGGAAGGAGTTTGAAGCAACCTTTTAAGACCTTTTTGAAAAAGTTTGAGAGAATCTCAGGATCTTATAGTGTCTTTCGTAAAAATGTTTGAAAGAATCTCTGGCTCCATTTGTGTTTTGTTTTCGAAGTAAATTAAAAAGATCTTAGGGACTCCTTTGGAAGTCTTTTTTGAAAGAGTCCAAAAGAATCTTTGGATCTGCTAGTGTCTTTTGTAAAAGTAAGTATTTGGAAGAATATCTGAGGCCCTTTGTATTTTGTTTTCGAAATAATTTTAAAAGATCTTAGGGACTCCCGGTGATTTGTTTTTTTTTAAAGAATTTTGTGACGCAACCTTGGGAGTCTTGAAAAAGTCTGTAAGTAGCTTATAATGTTGAGTATCTTTTGTAAAAGTATTTGAAAGAATATCCGGGAATGTTTGTGTTTTTTTTTTTCGAAATAATTTGCAAAGATCTTTGGGACTCCTGGTGATTTGTTTGAAGGAGTTGGAAAAACCCTTGGGAGTCTTGTTTTTATCAAGTCTGAAAGAATCTTGAGATCTTCTAATGTCTTTTGTAAGTATTTGAAAAAACTCTGAGGCCCTTCTTTGTCCTGTTTTCGAAATAAAGAAAGATTCAACGAACTTCTGGCGATTTGTTTTTGAAGGAGTTTGAAGCAACCTTTTAAGACCTTTTTGAAAAAGTCTGGGAGAATCTCAGGATCTTCTAGTGTCTTTTGTAAAAATATTTGAAAGAATCTCTGGGGACGTTTGTGTTTTGTTTTCGAAATAATTTAAAAAGATCTTAGGGACTCCTGTGATTTGTTTTTGAAGGAATTTGAAACAACTTAGGAAGTCTTTTTTAAAGAGTCCAAAAGAATCTTTGGATCTGTTAGTATCTTTTGTAAAAGTTAGTATTTGGAAGAATATCTGAGGCCCTTTGTAATTTGTTTGCGAAAAAATTTAAAAAGATCTTTGGGACTCCTGGTGATCTGTTTTTGAAGGAGTTTGAAGCAACTTTGGGACTTTTTTGAAAGAATCTGAAATAATCTTAGGATCTTTTAGTGCCTTCTGTGAAAGTATTTGAAAGAATCTTTGATGCCCCTTGTGTTTTATTTTTGAAATAATTAAAAAGATCTTAGGGACTCCTGGTGATTTGTTTTTGAAGAGGTTTGAAGCAACCTTGGGAGTCTTTTTTAAAGAGTCTGAAATAATCTTAGGATTCTTTGGCAAGATTATTTGAAAGAATCCCTGAGGTCTTTTTTGTTTTGTTTTTGAAGGAGTTTGAAGCAACCTTTTAAGACCTTTTTGAAAAAGTTTGAGAGAATCTCAGGATCTTATAGTGTCTTTTGTAAAAATATTTGAAAGAATCTTTGGGGACGTTTGTGTTTTGTTTTCGAAATAATTTAAAAAGATCTTAGGGACTCCTGTGATTTGTTTTTTAAGTGGTTTGAAACGACTTTGGAAGTCTTTTTTGAAAAAGTCCAAAAGAATCTTTGGATCTGCTAGTATCTTTTGTAAAAGTAAGTATTTGGAAGAATATCTGAGGCCGTTTGTAACTTGTTTTCGAAAAAATTTAAAACGATCTTTGGGACTCCTGGTGATCTGTTTTTGAAGGAGTTTGAAGCAACTTTGGGACTTTTTTGAAAGAATCTGAAATAATCTTAGGATCTTTTAGTGCCTTCTGTGAAAGTATTTGAAAGAATCTTTGATGCCCCTTGTGTTTTGTTTTTGAAATAATTTAAAAAGATCTTAGGGACGGACTCCGGGTGATTTGTTTTTGAAGAGGTTTGAAGCAACCTTGGGAGTCTTTTTTAAAGAGTCTGAAATAATCTTAGGATTCTTTGGCAAGATTATTTGAAAGAATCTCTGAGGCCTTTTTTGTTTTGTTTTTGAAGGAGTTTGAAGCAACCTTTTAAGACCTTTTTGAAAAAGTTTGAGAGAATCTCAGGATCTTATAGTGTCTTTTGTAAAAATATTTGAAAGAATCTTTGGGGACGTTTGTGTTTTGTTTTCGAAATAATTTAAAAAGATCTTAGGAACTCCTGTGATTTGTTTTTTAAGTGGTTTGAAACAACTTTTGAAGTCTTTTTTGAAAGAGTCCTAAAGAATCTTTGGATCTGCTAGTATCTTTTGTAAAAGTAAGTATTTGGAAGAATATCTAAGGCATTTTGTAATTTGTTTTCGAAAAAATTTAAAAAGATTTTTGGGACTCCTGGTGATTTGTATTTGAAGGAGTTTGAACCAACTTTGGGACTTTTTTGAAAGAATCTGAAATAATCCTAGCATCTTTTAGTACCTTCTGTGAAAGTGTTTGAAAGAATCTTTGATGCCCTTTGTGTTTTATTTTTGAAATAATTAAAAAGATCTTAGGGACTCCTGGTGATTTGTTTTTGAAGAGGTTTGAAGCAACCTGGGAGTCTTTTTTAAAGAGTCTGAAATAATCTTAGGATTTTTTTGCAAGATTATTTGAAAGAATCTTCTCAGGCCTTTTGTGTTTTGTTTTTGAAGGAGTTTGAAGCAACCTTTTAAGACCTTTTTGAAAAAGATTGAGAGAATTTCAGGATCTTATAGTGTCTTTTGTAAAAATAGTTGAAAGAATCTTTGGGGACGTTTGTCTTTTGTTTTCGAAATAATTTAAAAAGATCTTAGGGACTCTTGTGATTTGTTTTTTAAAGTGGTTTGAAACAACTTTTGAAGTCTTTTTTGAAAGAGTCCGAAAGAAGCTTTGGATCTGTTAGTATCTTTTGTAAAAGTAAGTATTTGGAAGAATATCTAAGACATTTTGTAATTTGTTTTCGAAAAAATTTAAAAAGATTTTTGGGACTCCTGGTGATTTGTATTTGAAGGAGTTTGAACCAACTTTGGGACTTTTTTGAAAGAATCTGAAATAATCCTAGCATCTTTTAGTACCTTCTGTGAAAGTGTTTGAAAGAATCTTTGATGCCCTTTGTGTTTTATTTTTGAAATAATTAAAAAGATCTTAGGGACTCCTGGTGATTTGTTTTTGAAGAGGTTTGAAGCAACCTGGGAGTCTTTTTTAAAGAGTCTGAAATAATCTTAGGATTTTTTTGCAAGATTATTTGAAAGAATCTTCTCAGGCCTTTTGTGTTTTGTTTTTGAAGGAGTTTGAAGCAACCTTTTAAGACCTTTTTGAAAAAGATTGAGAGAATTTCAGGATCTTATAGTGTCTTTTGTAAAAATAGTTGAAAGAATCTTTGGGGACGTTTGTCTTTTGTTTTCGAAATAATTTAAAAAGATCTTAGGGACTCTTGTGATTTGTTTTTTAAAGTGGTTTGAAACAACTTTTGAAGTCTTTTTTGAAAGAGTCCGAAAGAAGCTTTGGATCTGTTAGTATCTTTTGTAAAAGTAAGTATTTGGAAGAATATCTAAGACATTTTGTAATTTGTTTTCGAAAAAATTTAAAAAGATTTTTGGGACTCCTGGTGATTTGTTTTTGAAGGAGTTTGAAGCAACTTTGGGACTTTTTTGAAAGAATCTGAAATAATCTTAGGATCTTTTAGTGCCTTCTGTGAAAGTATTTGAAAGAATATTTGACGCCCTTTGTGTTTTATTTTTGAAATAATTTAAAAAGATCTTAGGGACTCCTGGTGATTTGTTTTTAAAGAGGTTCGAAGCAACCTTGGGAGTCTTTTAAAGAGTCTGAAATAATTTTAGGATTCTTTTGCAAGATTATTTGAAAGAATCTCTCACGCCTTTTGTGTTTTGTTTTTGAAGGAGTTTGAAGCAACCTTTTAAGACCTTTTTGAAAAAGTTTGAGAATCTCAGGATCTTCTAGTGTCTTTTGTAAAAATATTTGAAAGAATCTCTGGGGACGTTTGTGTTTTGTTTTCGAAATAATTTAAAAAGATCTTAGAGACTCATGTGATTTGTTTTTGAAGTGGTTTGAAACAACTTTTGAAGTCTTTTGAAAGAGTCCGAAAGAATCTTTGGATCTGCTAGTATCTTTTGTAAAAGTAAGTATTTGGAAGAATATCTGAGGCCTTTTGTAATTTGTTTTCGAAAAAATTTAAAAAGATCTTTGGAACTCCTGGTGATTTGTTTTTGAAGGAGTTTGAAGCAACTTTTGGAGTCTTTTTGAAAGAATCTGAAATAATTTTAGGCTTTTTTAGTGTCTTTTGTGAAAATATTTGACAGAGTCTCTAAGAGTCTTGAGATCATCTAGTGTCTTGTTTGTATTTGAAAAAAATCTTTGGAACCGTTCATGTTTTGTTTTTGAAAAATTTTGGAGCTTTTGGTATTTTGTTTTTAAAATAATTTGAAATAGTCTTGAGAACCTCTAGTGTTTGATTTTGCAAAAATTTGAAGAAAAATTTAGTCCTGGCATAAATTTGCAATTATGACAAGAAAAAAATTATATTGTCGAAATTGTAACTTCAATTGGATTTTTTTTATGTACAAATATGTTAAAAAGGAACATTTTTTATGTTGTTTTTTAATCCATAAAATATTTGCTGTGTTCTTAACCTTTTATCTGAAAATCACTTGACGTTCCTTAAATGATTGAACGAGATAATTGGAATAAAGAATATCAATTATATCAAGTTACGTAGTGTTTTAAAAATACAATAAAAGTGAATACTTAGAAACCGTGTTTTATGTTCAGCTAACTTAATTAATCTTGATACACATCAAAAATTTCTTACTCGTATATAAATTAACATTAACAAATAGAAAAAGCAATAATTCGACAAACCTTGATGTTTTTGTTGACGATCGAAATTTCTCAGTAGGTTTCGCACGTTTCTAAAATTCCTACTAAAAACGTGCATCATGTCAAAACCTCACATAAAAAATCCCCGGAATTCGATAACGCTACAACTTTCCTCTCAATCCGTGACAACAGAAAACGAATTTTCATCTTGACCTTCACTCGCTAAGCTCCATTTCGTCGAAAACTCAGCATCGGTTTTGATAACTGAAAAAAATAAAACCTACGTTCCAAGGTCTACGACAACCATGTAGCCGATAAATAATTATGCATATTTGCTTTACGCGCAAAATGAGCCATAATTGCGTTAATTTTTAAGTTAATTTGCTCGCTTATTAGTACGTTCGTTAGCTTACCGGGAAATTTAAATCGTCTTCGCCAAACCTAGACCCAATAACGCTGCAAATATTTTGCTACCCAGCGCAAACTGCGCCAAATTACACAACTCTGTCTTCTTATATTGAGAATCGTTATCGGTATTATTAATGAAGGCTGTTTATGCTCAAACTGATTACACTATTATTATAAAGCAAACTTTTTTCTTTGCTGATAACTTTCCGAGATGATACACTTTACAGCCATATTTTTAGCGTTCTTGTCAAGCGTTCAGTCTTCGTGACGAAAATTTCCAAATCGGACACGATGTACATTTTCAAGCGAAAATGCTCCGATCGAAAAGTACTATTTTTTCGGGGTGCGACAAACCACTAAAATGTGCGTGTTTTCAGATGAACGTGAGGGTGACCACCATGGATGCGGAACTCGAGTTCGCAATCCAACAAACAACGTCAGGCAAACAGCTCTTCGACCAGGTTGTCAAAACCATCGGATTAAGAGAAGTTTGGTTTTTCGGCCTACAGTACACCGATTCGAAGGGGGATTTGACGTGGATTAAGTTGTACAAGAAGGTAAGGACCACATTTCCTGGTGGCAGCGATGGTATCCTTATCAAGCTGTGTTGTTTTTTAGTTGCTTGATAGTGTTTTTTAGCGCGATTATCGTTGCGTAAGACTCGGTAATTGTAGTCAAATATTTTATCTGTTTCGAGTGTAGGCGTATTGTAGATATGTCGATAATAAATAATTTTATCGGGTTTAATAGCACCCGAATCGAGGAATTTATGGTGGCATAGTTAGCACTAGAACTGGGATAGATTTTTTAATTAGGTGCATTATCGTGACTCAGCCGTCAAACTTTCCAGTCTGTGAAATTAGCGAGTCGCGAATTTTAGACGTCCGAAGGATTTTTATAATTTTTAACAAACACGTTGAGAAGAGATGATCTCACTTTTATTGTTGGTTTGTGAGGATGTCTGCCTTAATTTATTGTCACTGAATGGTTTTATTCACTTTTTTATCTCGGAGGATGTATAATGGCTGCTTGTTATTGCGATTTTAGCGGTTGGCGACATTACGTCATTGTTAGCAGAAGTCGTCGAATGATTCACATATGAGCATATTTGAATTTTATTAACCAACCGATAAAAGCGACGTTCTCGGAATCGGTAAAGAAAAATCAATTTTCGTGTGAACAATAGACTTTTTGTGTCAGTGGGTCACATCAGTACCGACAGATTGTTATCTTTCTAATCACGATTAGTCAATTTTTTGGTTTTTTGTGTCGCTTATGTCAACTAAATCTTGCAACCTGTCGTAGGCGTCGTTCGACCTTAAAGGTTGCCAACATGCGAACAAAATAAACAATCGACGAATCAAAATTCGAGATGATTATCTAAATTAAATTAATTTAAAGAGTATGCGGCACGAAATGTTAGTCATTGGGCAACAACTTCGCGTTTATGGAATCATAAAGGTAGAAATGCCACAGTTGCCACATCATCGCATCTCGTGATTCAGAAATTTCGTTACTAATCGAAATTGTTACTTTTTCGGAGCAGGTTCGATGATTTTTAACTTCGTACTAGTTGGTATGGAAAAGTGTCAATGCCAATAATACCATCATTCGTTACAAGTTGTCCAGGTATAGGTCATGGCGAGTCCATAATGCACCAGTTGTCTTAGCCATAACAGTCGAAGGACGATTTACACACAATCAAGTAAATTGTAAACATTTTTCAAAGTGTCGCCACAAATCACACACTTTTGATTCCGTTTAGTAGAAAGTCGCCTTATACCCTACTTAAGTCAGATTCGCTAGATCCTCTAGACTCGCTCGGAAATGTCATAACACGATTTATCTTTCTTCGAATGTGCAAGCAGCCGGACTCTATGCTAAAAAGAGGCGTTAACTGCCTAAAACACATAAAAAATTTACAAGCCGGATCGCGCTTAAGCATCGAAGATGACGACGATAACGAGCTGGTAAGTATGCATAAACGAGAAAAAAATTAACAGCGTTGAATTAATATTTATAACTTTGTTGGTCGATTGCCCATAATTTGGGAACTGGACTATATTTAGTTCCGGATGTATGGTCGGTGGAGTTTGCGTCAATGACGGATTTATTTTGATAGGTGCCGCCTTCACAACAAATAAATTCGGATGTTTTATTAATTAGGGATTAAAGAGAGCGGGTTTCTGCAACGGATCTTGATTTGTTTGCTTTTCGGCGTGTGGGTGAACAGTTTAGGTTGGACCGGAAATTGTTGATTGACAACGTCTTTTTGGCATTGTTCGTTTCAAAGTGATATGTTTAGTTTCAAACAAGAGACCGGGATGTTTATAGACACGTATTTTTGCGTCCCAAGCAAGCTGAGGAAGTATTGTAGTCTGAGTCCATCGGGCGACTGTGCTTTTATGTTTTCTCGAGGTTTCATGACCCCGAAAGTCCGGAGAAATGGGTCCCCGTTTCCGTCTGTCTGCCGTCTGGCCGGATTTTTATTAGGCAGATAATCTCCGAACCTACTGGAGCGATTAAAGTCAAATTTTATGAGTGTATTAAGATTATCGGATATGTATATGGCAAAGCGCTAAATAACTTGGTTAATCATCCCGACAGGATGACATCATCTCCAAAATTTACTTTAGTAAATGTTATTTAAACTGTATGAAATAAAATATCCTGTACTTGTGGATGAATCCGTGTTGATTTTTTTTTTGGCTTTTTGTTGTCTCGATTGAAAAATCTTTCTCGGTTTTTCAAATTTTCGATTTCTGGATTTTATTTATTTTTCGATTTCTTTATTTTCTCATATTTCAAATTGTCGATTTTTGTATTTTTTGAATTTTCGACTTTGATTTTTCGATATTTTGATTTTCCCATTTCTCGATCGAGAAATCGAGAAACCGAAACATGGAAATTTCTTGGATTACTCGATTTTTCGATTTTCAATATTTCGATTTTTTGACATTTCGATTTTTCCATTCTTTGAGATCCCAGTTTTTCGATTCTTCAATGACAATTTTTCGATTTCTCAATTTTTGGAATTTTCTGTTTTTCGACTTTTTCATTCCTCGATTTTTCAACTTTTAATTTATCAATATTTCAGTATTTTTATTTTTCAATTTTTCGATTTCTCAATTTTTGACGTTTCTAAATGTTCAATTTTTTGATTTCTCAATTTCTGTATTAACGGTTTTTTGGTTTATCGACTTTTAGATTTCTCAATTTTTCAGTTTTTCGATTTTTTGATTCTTTAATATTTAGATTCCTCAATTTTTCGATTTTTCAATTTTTCGATGTTTTGCTGTTTCGATTTTTCAGTTTTTCCATTTTTCGATTTCTCAATTTTAGTTTTGGGATTTTTTTCAATTTTTAAGTTTTTGATTTCTTGATTTTTCAGTTGTTCGATATTTATATTTTTCAATTTTTAAATACATTTTGCAGTTTTTCGGTTTTAAATTTTTCAGTTTTTTTTTTTATTTTAAGGGTCAGTTTATAGAATATTATAATTGAGATTAAGTTAGCCACGCATTTAATGGGGCGTTTAGCTTTTTCTGATTGGCGTAGAATCGGTCACGTGGTGTTTTAATGCCGGATTAAAATTTAGTTCAATTGAGCTTCCGTATTTCGATTTTTCAATTTTTCGTTTCTCCATGTTTTCAGTTTTTCGATTTTCTAATTGTTCCTTATTTTAGTTTGGAATTTTTCAATTTCTCGATTTTTCTATTCGATTTCTTGACATGTGGGATTTTCGATTTCTCAGTTTCTCAACATTTCAATTTTGCAAATTTTTCAATTTCTGGATTTTTAGACGTTTCGGTTTTAATTTTTCGTTTTTAAGATTTTTTGATTCGATTTCTTGACACTTAGGATTTTCGATTTTTAAAATTTTTCAACACTTCAGTTTTGGAAATTTTTCAATTTCTGGATTTCTAAATTTTCAGTTTTCCAATTTTTAGATGTTCCGGTTTTTCAAGTTTCCGAATTCCCCATTTTTTCTCATTTTTTTTTTTGAATTTTTCAATTTACCCATTATTCAATTTTTTGATTTCTGGGTTTTTCGAAAGTCAATTTTTCGATATTTAAATTTTTCGACTTTCCGATTTTTCAAGGTTTTGATTTCTCAGTTTTTCAACATTTCAATTATGCAAATTATTCAATTTCTGGATTCTTCAATTTTTCGATTTTCCAATTTTTGATGATTTTTCAGTTTTTCGAATTCCCGATTTTTCCTCATTTTAGTTTTGAAATTTTTCAAATATTCGATTTTTAGACGTTTCGATTTCTCGATTTTTCAATTTTTCGATATTTTAATTTTTCACTTGACGATTTTTTGATTCGACTTTTTGACATCTAGGATTTTCGATTTTTCAAGTTTTCGATTTCTCAATTTTTCAACACTTGCTCAATTTTGGGAATTTTTCAATTTCTGGTTTTATAATTTTCAATTGTTAAATTTTTCGAATTCTCAATTTTTCAACATATCAATTTTGTGAATTTTTAAATATCTGGATTCTTTAATTTTTCGATTTTCCAATTTTTGATGTTCCGATTTTTCAATTTTTCGAATTCCTGATTTTTCATCATTTTAGTTTTGGAATTTTTCAAATATTCGATTTTTAGACGTTTCGATTTTTCAATTTTTCGATATTTAATTTTTCACTTTCACGATTTTTTGCTTTGATTTTTGACATTTAGGATTTTGGATTTCTCAATTTTTCAACATTTCAATTTTGGGAATTTTTCGATTTCCAGATTTATTAATTTTTCGATTTTCCAATTTTTGGATATTTCGATTTTTAAATTTTTCGAATTTTCAATTTTACCTCATTTTATTTTCGCAATTTTTCAATTTACCGATTATTCAGTTTTTGATTACTCGGTTTTTCAATTTTTCGATATTTTAATTATTCAGTTTTTCGATTTTTTGATTCGATTTCATGACACCCAGGATTTTTGATTTTTAAAATTTTTCAACACTTCAATTTTGGGAATTTTTCAATTTCTAGATTTTTTAATTTTGCGATTTTCCAACTTTTGGATGTTCCGATTTTTAATTTGCCCATTATTCAATTTTTTGATGTCTCGGTTTTTCGATTTTTCAAAATTTCAATTTTTCAATACATATTTTAATTCTTCATTTTTACGATTTTTTTATTCGATTTCTTGGTACAACTAGGATTTTTGACTTTTAAAATTTTTGGACTTTTCGATTTTTCAAAGTTTCGATTTTTTAATTTTTCGATATTTTAATTTTTCACTTTTACTATTTTTTGATTCGATTTCTGACACCTAGGATTTTCGATTTTTCAAGTTTTCGATATCTCAATTTATCAACACTTCAATTTTAGGAATTTTTCAATTTCTGGATTTTTTAATTTTTGATTTTCCAGTTTTTGGATGTTCCGGAATTTTTCAATTTATACCCATTATTCAATTTTTTGATTTCTGGATTTTTCGAAAGTTAATTTTTCGATATTTTAATTTTTCGACTTTCCGATTTTTCAAGGTTTCGATTTCTCAGTTTTTCAACGTTTCAATTTTGCAAATTTTTTAATTTCTGGAT